GGCTGGGTGCGCACGGCGCGTCCGTGTCCCCCCCCCCCCCTCACTGCCTGGTGAACTCAGACCAGACACAGCCCCACTGGTACCGGTCACGCGTGGGGGGGGGAAGTGGCTTTCACCGCCGGGGAGTCCAGCCAGCCGCAGGGCCTGTCGCTGGGCCGGTCCCAGGGAGCACTGGGGCACGTTACCATGGGACACCCCATACAGCAACGGTAAATCCCGATGCTGGTTTGGAGCAGCCCCCGGACACTGGGGAGCCCCCACCACTCCCTGGCCCGCAGAGGGGGGTTCCCGGCTGCAGCTGGTACCGGTCACTGGTTGGGGTATAAGGAGAACCAAGCCCTCGGCTGCTCCCAGCAAGGGGAGAGACGTCGAGAACCTGCTGTCCCGACCGCGGCTGTCACTGTCGGTCTCTCCCGGCGCGTTAACTCCGGGTGCTGAGCGGTCCGGGCGCCGGGCCCCGGCTCTGCCACTCTGAGCCCCTCCCCTGACGCCGAGCACGGCTGCCCGCGGGCTCCTCCCTTCCCCCAGCCGACGCCGGGCCGGGAAACGCTCTGACCTCCCCTTGCGTGTCCGGCCCCTGTCCCGGGACCAGCCCCCGCCACGGTGCCTTGACTGACGAGAAAACCCTCTTCGCCTTCACAGACCCCCTGAGACGCCGCTGCCCCTTCGCCGCCCCCTGCCAGCGGGGCAGGGCACTGGCTGTGCCAGGTCAGATCCAGGGGCCCGTCTGCCCCAGTGTCCCCACACCTGCCCTGGGTCAGGCCCAGGCGCCCATCTATCCCGATGTCCCCCCATCTGCCCTGGGTCAGACCGTGGGCCCATCCAGTCTGATACACCCCCCCACCTCCACCCCCCAGATACACACTGGATAATGGGTCCATCTCGTTCAGTCTCCCCCTTCCTGCTGCTCCGGGTCCCACCCATGGGCCCATCTAGCCTGGTATCCCTCACCCCTGCAGCCCCAATAACCAGGCCCCTTTAGCCGGGTCTCCCTGTCATTGGTGCCCTGCACCAGCCAGCTACGTTTACACCAGGGATAAATAGGGCACATGGCCCTGGGAATGGGCCGGATGTGTTGGTGGGGCGAGGGGCCGGAGGTCCCTGCGGGTGGGTAACACACATGGGGTCGGGTGAGGTCTGTGCTGTGGGGCTGAGGGACTGAGATTGCTGCATGGCCCGCGCTGGGCAGTCGGGGGTGCTCTGTCTCTCTCTCTCTCTCTCTCTCCCTCTCGGCCCACCGGCTCCCATAGGATCACCCCG